GTGGCCTATTGTGGCGCAAATCAAATCTCAATCAAAGGCTTTCTTAAGGAGGAGAGGTTGAGTCTGAAGGAGCCTGGCGGTCTGTGTCCCGCGTTCAACCAGAAGTTACTTCTTTTTCTTCTGACCAAGAGGTGACCTAGGGGATCGCTCGCCATCTGCTAATCTAGGGTTCCAAGGGTTCGTCCCCCCGGGGGGGTCAAAAGTTCGGTTGACAGAGTATACTTCCCCAGGAGAGACTCTCAGTCGTCCCCTGATGTCTTGGTTCATCAGGGGGATCGTGTTTGCGTGTTGCTCGGGTGTGTTTTTGTATGTGCGTTGTTGGTTTCAGCTATCAGTCCGCGTGGGGGCTGATCAGTGTTAGACCTGCTCCTCCGGTGATACGAGAGAGGCGCGTAGCAGAAGGACCACGGATGCCCAAAACATGAACATCATTGGCTTTCAAGTGTCTCTATTCAGTCTAACTGACACCAGTGAAGCTCGTTGAGGACCTAAATGTAAGAGCCGGTGGCCGTAGGGTTCATTTGTCACCATAGACTTCCAACGATTTCACATCCTCTCTGATTAATGTTAATATTCAAGCTATTTCAGCGTTTCCCGTAAAACCAACTCCCCGTCGCCGCAGCGCCGTCGTACTGCGCAACAAATTGAAGATCAGCTTTCGTTTGAGCCGACTCGCTGCCATGAGATCAGCCCCGATCCAGTGTCACGTGCCACACGGCAGAGATGAAGCATCTACTCTACTCTGACCGCAGTGGAATTTAACACGTGAGAAGTAGTTCTAAGGAACACAACCGTCGACAATCTAAAATACACTAGAAACATCCTGTTGACAGGAGTTCTTTTCATACTTGATGTGCATTTAGCTGTTTGTTTGTTTTTTACCAGAAAGGTTTTGAATGCAACACGTTTGCTGAAGTAAAGGATCTGCATTATTCCACCATTGACACAGAAGCAGGAATCCTCGTGTTGCCGCTCAAGTTTATCGGCCAGTTGCCAAAAAGGTGACAGTTTCATGGGAAAAGTTCAGTATTTCAGTAAAACAGGCTGAAGCATAGAGACACAAATGGAACCGTTAAGTGTCTCTGTCAACAGAGACAATCAAACACGTTTCCTTCTGAAATCAAGCAAAAAAAACAAAACGACCCCATTGACAATCATTCGTTGGTGTTTCACTGCACGTTCAAAAGGGTTAACGTCTCCACATCGCAGCACCTGGGACGGCCTCCGCCGGGGCGCTGCTCCGTTCCCATGGTAACGTCTCAAGGTGTTTAAAGCAACAGCGAGCGACGCGTCCTTTGTGTCCATTGGCCCAGTACCAGACCCTTCGAGGAGGGGGGGGGCGGCAGATCAAAGGTGCTGGTCGCAGCCATTAGGCCCGTCGGGCCCGACCCAACATGAAAAGCTGGTGTTGAGAAAAGGGGGGCAGAAAGAAAAAAAAACCCCCCAAAAAACAACAACAGGGCCCTCTTCGTTTAAAAAGCAAGCAAACTGTGAAATAATTGAAAAGGTGTGTCAATCAAGGGCAGGAACGCAGCGGGAACTCCGAGATTCCCAGGCTCCGCTCCGGGTCGGGCGCTGAGCCGCGGAGGGCCGCTCGAGGGGGCGACCCGAGACATTAAAGACCCGAGAAAAAGGAATAAAAAGGAAAACGGAAAAATCTCTCTGCTCTGCTCAGTTCTTTCCGCTCTTTTCCGCTTCAAATTTGTGGGTGAAAGGAGCCTTTTTTTGCGACACTTTGTGGAGCCCCATTCAAGACGCTCGGCCATCAATAAGATCTCGATCTAGCTCTTCACCTCTCAGGTGAGGGACAAAGGCTTATTCGAGGGGGAAGCGGCCGTTGGAATCGCCCCCCACCCGAAAACCCCCGAAACCCCCGTGCTATAACCAGCACCTTCACCCTGTACTCGCCATCTCCCTCCCCCCCTCCTCCCCCTCCTCCTCCCCCTCCCCCCCCCCCCACACCATGAGTCGGACAAAAGGGAACCCCGTGAGAGTGTCTCTCTCTTTCCTTTCTGCTTTTTTTTTTTTTTTCCAAAGTCAGAAAAGGCTGGAATGATCTGACGTTGGGCCGACGTCCAAGAAAATGGGGCACGGGAAGAGAAGAAAGAGTAAAAAAAAAAAAAACAGGGTGAAAGACTTTCTATGCTTTTAAAAAAATCCCATAGAGGGGAAATAAATGGCAAGTCCACAGTTGACTAGACATGTATAGTGCAGGATTTGCTTGTAATGGCAGCTTGAGCGTATTGACAGTCCCAGCCAAAACATGTCAAAGGTTAAGAGACCTCGCCAATTGCAAGTGGGAAGCCAAAAGTACCTTTTTCATGAGCTCAATGGGGCCATCGGTTGATCCTCGCTCAGCAGAACACGGAGCAGGATCGACCTTCGGTTTCCATTGCAACTCGGGGACAAAGAATGAATTTGTCTCTGTTGTTTGTCCCCGTCTTCTCTCTAATTGTGATATTGTTCAAAAGGTTTGAAACTGTTATTCAATAGAAATGTTCACAGGTTGAAAACGGTTTTATTTGCATTTTATCAGAGCAAACTTTATATTCCTCTGTGTTTGCGTTAAAAGCTCCAGACCACAAGTCAGAAAACGAGAGTTTATTAAAAGATAGGATTGACCCCAAGCTGCACTTAAAATGTCAGGTACATTCAAAGATAGGGACCTTTTTGTCAAACATACAGTTTGTTTGTTTGGGCCGGAAAAGTCTGTTTTTTTAATATTTATGAATATATTTAATATATTTAATATAAAATATATATATTTTTAAATATGTATTAATATGTTTAATATATTTTTAATATAAAATATATATATATTTTAAAATATTTATTAATATATTTAATATATAATACATTTTTAATATAAAATAATTTTAAGAACAACCCATGAAAAAATAAATTCTTAAAGATAAAAAGTTTCAGTCAAAACTGCATCAATAATCCAGCACATGTCTTTCCTTCCAGTGAAGTGCCCTTTGGATTTCAGCAGTTAGGAAAACCCTCTAATAGCTTGAAATACCTCCCTCTGATTTCTCAGGCTTTCGACACAATGGAGTGACTTTTCAAAGGGGGGGGGGGGGGGGCGGGGGCTGTGCCCTACATGGATCTAACTGGGCTTTATCGATGTGTGGGCAAGCGTCCACACCCCAAGGGGTTCCTCAATGGGAAATCCCCATTTCATGTGCTCAGACCTTTAGTCGCTGCTACACCAGCGCATACGAAAGAGGCGACGGCTACCTGAGACGCCACAGCGCAGGTTTCTTGTTGCGTTGGTACCACGATTAATCACCAGAGGAGCCCTTAAAGTTAGAGAATACATTCATCAAGGGCTGTTTTCCGCTTTAACTGTTTAACGCCAACAACGTCTCAGACGTGACTAAACATCCTTCCACACACACCTACGGCGCCTTGAGCTCAAAACCAGCAAAATAATGGCTGGCACCACTTACAGGCACCAGTGGTTTTCATTGGCCTGCGCTAATCCCCCATAAACCCTTGCAGCGCCCCCATCACCAGCCGAGGCCTCGGCTAATTGCCTACGAGTCCCTCGCACGCTCCAGGTGCCGCCGCCGCCGCGGCACACCCGGTGTTTGTAAACACAGCTCGTAAAACGAGAGAGAGAGAGAGAGAGAGAGAGAGAGAGAGGCCACCGCCATCAGTGTGTTAAATGTTTGTCCTCGGAGGCGATGACCGGGGGGGAGGAGGTGGGGGGCGGGAGGAGGTGCAGCCGGGCCGGTACCTGGACGGAGGGAGCGCCGGGCCTCCCTCCCGGCAGCTGTGGCGAGAGCGGGTGGAGGGGAGTTTGTTTACCTTCCTGGTGTTCTCCCTCCCCCCTTTTCGCTCTTTGCAGCCGTTTGTGTGCGTGCCTGAAGAACACAACCTCACTTGGTAACCAGGCCGCCCTCTCCCCTGCCTCCCCCGCCTCCCCCCCTCCCGGAGGACGCTGAGGGCACAGCTATAAAAGAAGAAGCACGAGAGATAGTTGCGTGTTAAGAACGATGGCGGCGGCAGATGTTTTTTATGTTTTGGAGCTCTTCAGATGTTCTCGTTTAGAAAATTCATCGCAGGTCTGCGTAGAAGAACGAGGGAACAAAACATCCGACTGTAACACGGGAGAAGACGATGTCCAACTTCTGACCACAGCTGTTCCCCCAAAAAACCTCTATCGAAGGCCCAAACCGCCGGCTTTCTGAAAGGGTCGTTCACCCCAAACCGTGATCTTTTCCTCAACGTGACTAATAAATGTGGGTGTCCAACCAGACCGCAGCCACGTCTCCGTCACCCCATCACACAGGGAAAAGACAAATGGTAGTTCGAAGGGCTCGTTCTGGGGCTCGACACCTTGAGCTTCTACAACCTGATCTGGTGCTGTTTTTTTTTTTTCCAGCATCCATTTTTCCCAAAGTCAACGATCCCTTTCTTCACAAATGTGTCTCGCCTTTGAGCAGCAACGTTGCATGTTTTTCTTTAAAGAAGATCTCGCTTCGTCTTCAGCAACTAGCTGCTATCCAGAACCCGGCACCAAGCCACTCGGGTCGTCTCCGAAGCATTCTCCCCGTCGTGGCCGCACCAATGAAACGGACGAGGAGAGAAGCCTCGCGGGGGCTTGTTTGCAATCGGTGTAGAAACTATTGGCACAAACAAGCATTGCCAGGTTTTTTTCCTGGGGTGAAGTGAGTTGAGTGGACGGTCAACCGAACTCTGGAGGCGGTGAGACAGAATGATATTGTGCGTGCTCACACTAGTCTGTGTTAAAAATTGAGTGCATCTCAGGATGTAGTCTGAGTCTGCGGTGTATAAAGGAAGTTATTCCATTAAGCTTTGTTATTTTCCGCCTTTACTCATGTGATCAAATCTTAACCTTTCATGCGAGATGTTTCAAATTAAACTGATCTTCTCAAAAAAAAAACAGGAGCCCCTTTGAGCTGCCGTGCATGTCCAAAGCTACATGTTTCTAACCCAGACTTTTGTGCCCTCTTCTCTCTTTTTTTCTCCAGGCCTGATGGAAATCCGATCCGTCAGCGTGGGAGTTGTTGCCATCAAATCTGTCAGCACCGGGCTGTACTTAGCTATGTCCAAGAAAGGCACGCTCTTTGGATCGGTGTGTATACAACCCGGCAACATTGTTTCCTGCAGGTCAAGATGGGGGGTGAGGGGGGTGAGGGTAGTGGGAGGTATCATGTGCATAGGGGGTCCCAAATGAGCGTCTACCCCAAACATGCGTCAGTGCGGCGTCAGCAGAGGGAATCTTCTGCTGGATGGTCCAGCGGGGAAAGGTCAGAGCGTCGCAATCAATCACGGCTGTACACCTGGGCCGCGGGGCCGACGGCACCTGCGGCTCGAGTCGGCTGGTTCCGCTGTCAAAATAAATAGCAGGGAGAAGACGCCGGACCGGGCAGTGACACGAAAAAGACAGCTGGGCTCCTTTTAAAAAAAAAAACGTCTTTCGCGTGCCATCTGCCAATTGATGTTTCACACGGCGAGCTTTTGGAGCGTAATCACCTCCCTTTTGTTTTGCGACCAGCCGCACATCAGACCCGAGGTGTGTGGTGTCCAGCTCGTGCATTTACAGTCAGCAGCAGCGACGAGAGAAGTGCCTTCAACAAGCCGCCGCTGTAAATAACGAGCGGATCTGAAGGCCCTGAAAAGCTCCTTTAATAACAACGAGGCAGGTGAATCACAGCGGACGCTATCGCACGCTAAGGGCCTCGTTGTGGGATTACCTTCTCAGATGAATACACCTGAAGACAAAGCTCTCAACGATAGGAAACATTTGCGTTAAAATGCGTGGTATTTTGGGGGGTTTCGAGATTTGTTCCTGCAACTGGAACCATTAAAAGCAACATTTTATTCCAATAACAACGTCCCAGTTACTCGGATGTTTCACAAACCTCATTGTGATCCAGTCAGCTTCCAGTGATCGGTGCAGATGAAGGCTTAAGTGTCGGCCCCTTTAGCTTTCTGCAAGCAAGCGGAACATTGTTTCTGGACATTTTGAGGTTTTAATTCTTAAACGATTAGGGCAGCACAAAAACTATTCCACTCAGATAAACGCCATCGGGTTGCTGGAAAAGAGATTTCAGGGCGATCTATTTTTAAACCGAGACTTTATATCAACAACTCAAAATGACCAACCAGCTAATTGGTTCAAAAACACCATAAACCGCCATAAACAGCAGCCGAATCCTTCACAACAGACATTAAGCTTTGTGCACCACTTGGAAGCTGAACTAACGCAGCACAGCAGGAATGATCTCTTAACCCCCCCACACCCCCTCCTCTCTGCTCACAGGTGAAGTACAACCCGAGCTGCAAGTTCAAGGAGCGCATCGAGGAGAACGGCTACAACACGTACGCCTCCCTCCGCTGGAAGCACAGCGGCCGGCAGATGTTCGTCTCGCTGAACGGGCGGGGGAAGCCGCGGCGGGGTCACAAGGCTCGACGGAGACACCCGTCCACCCACTTCCTGCCCATGCTGCCCTCCTAGCTGCCCGCGTCCGAACTCTGACCCCCACAAACTGTCCGACTGGCTCAGCGGCCGACCGCCTCACGCTGGTGTTGGTCGCGATCTTTATTTGTTTATTATTATTCCATCCTCCCGTCGCATAAATGTGCATTTATCGAGCGCTGTAACAATTGTAGGTTTAGCATATGTACTTAAGTTATTTTCTCTAATGATGTTCAGTAATACAGTAAATATACCGTAGACTTACACTTTATGCAGGCATCTGTCTGGCTACAGTATCGGTTTGTGTGTCTGAAGTGCTTGCAGACTTTGTGACTTTAAGAGGCTGGAAGGGACAGCAAGGCCGTTCCAGATAATGGGGCAAAAATTACATTTCCATTCAAAGCATCACTTTTAAAACAAAAAATAGCTACAATTAGCTGTCATTGACGACGTCCTTTCAGGGGTTTCTCTCTACAATTACATTTTCACAATTCGTCATTCCACTTTTAACAGATTTTTTGTCTTTGTCACCATCGGTTCACATATGCTTCAAATGTGAAATCTGAAACATAATGTAAAAATAATAAGATTTAATGTGCAACAGCATTTCACATAAACTAGCACATGGTTCATCATGCACACAGGCTCCTAAACGGGAACAATCTGATGGTTCAGCATCTTTTAACTCACGCACCTCAAGATGCAGATCGGAGAAACCAAATAATAACATTTGTGGGGGGGGAACCAGTGTTTCTGAAATGCGACATTCTCACTGTCTCCTGGGATCTACTGCACTGACGCTGCTGGACAAGAGACGCTGAAAAGCTCTACTGACTTAAACGCGTTGCTGAGCTGCACGACTGGGACGACACGCCGGATCGTCCGAGACGACCTCAGCGTGTCTGCGTCTGACTCCCGTCTCCTCCCGTTCAGCCAAACCCACGGCTGATGGAGCGCAGTGTGACGTGCAGCCTCAGTTCCGTTAATAAAAAGATGTGCGTGTTGAGTCATTTAATGCATCGTAGGCAAAGCAGCAACTTCATTATTGTACACAGTAATAAAGGGTTATTACATTCGGCCTCTCTCCTAAGTCTCGCTAACATTTTCTCAACAAGGCTGTTGCTAATAGAACATTTAATATATTTAAAACATTTTGTACTCTAACTGTTTGAAGTTGACGTGTATTGTTATTGTGTACTTTTTGTGTTGGATTGTAGAAATACTGTTTTAAAAAAAAGAGGAAAAAATGGTAATCAAGTACATATTTGCTTCATTTTATATGGTATTACTACTGGATATTGGTATATATATATATATATATATATATATATATATATATATATTAGGCCAAAGTGTCAGAAAAAACATTCTTTAGATTCATGTCAGAGAGGTAAAATCATTTGAGTGCCTTGATCCGTGCTGAGTTTGGTAAACTTCAATAAAACATGTGGATAAATCGTGATTCAAGCCTCGTGTCTCCATTTTAATCTCGCCTCATGCGCGACGCTGATTGTTAAATTTTGGTTAACATCTCCATGGGAGCTCTTTAGACGTAACCCCCCCCCCTCCACCTCCACCTCCACCTCCACCTCCATCCTCATCATAATCATGACAAAACTCACAGCGGGAGAGGCGTTGACACGCAGGACCTCCCCGCCTCTGATGAAAGCTCCGCGGTTATGAACTGTGCACCCGAAGCGGCTCGAGGTCATTTACACACAGACGAGCCCTCCAGTGGCACGGGGGGGGGGGGGGGGCGGGGGTGGGGGGGAGGCACTCGGGCTCTTTCAGCCAGCAGAAAGGGGAGTCGGCGATGAATGGCGGCTGTTCGGGGTGAATAAAGGCCGACCTTTCAGCCTGTCATAATGTGCGACTACTGTGACGGGAGGGGAAGGAGGGAAAGGGGGGTGTGGGGGGGGGGGGTACATGTCAGGTCAGGATGGCGTGAAGTCACACTGTAGTTCAGCTCCAGAGGTCCGGGTGCAGCGCACACATGTCAGTGTGGGGAGGAGGGGATGGGGGGTCCTGCTGTACTTTCGTCATGCAAAAGTTCTTGGAAAGGGGTTGTGGCTTTTTTGAAAAGTGAAAAATACCACTTCTGTGTCTCTACACCTGAGCGCGGACTTCGCCTACCGTGAAGACTGGAACCAGGTGGAGGCAGGTGGTCAGCCTCAGTCCAAAGTTAGCAGAAAGAAGCCCACCGACTGCATTATTATGTCAGATAAAACTACGAAGCTGTGCGGAATGCAGCACGTTTCCGTTTCACAGGTATCCCTTAACTTTTATCGATTGTCATCCGGGCCTCAGACGCACCTAAACACGCACGGCACAAAGCAAGCTCCTGCCTCCTCCTTCAATGCCTCCGCCTCCTTCTTCTCGGCCTGGCGGTGCCACCGGGAGCTCGAAAAGGAAAAACCTGAAACGCCGTGCAAAGTCAACGAGGAATGCCCCAAAGAGAGTGGCGGCCGTCCAGAAGACGTCCTCGGCCCCCGCCGCCCCCCCGCCGCCCACGCGTTGACGTCCAGGGCGCAGGTGTCTGGGCCGCGTTTGATCCGGGTCGGTGTAAACAGAGCGCCGAGGGAGTGAGTCACGCCGCGGCGATGTTGTTGCTGAAGCGCCTGTCATGGAAGCACCTGGTGGGCTGCGGGGCCTCGAAAAAGCCCTCCCCCCCCCACCCCACCCCACCCGGGGGACATCACAGGAGAGCAGCACCTGGCGGAGGGGCGCTCGGCACGACCCGCTGGAGAAACAGGCAACACTGACGGCTTCGGGAACGAACCGCGAGCGACAGAAGAGAAAAGTGACAATAGAAGCCGCAGCCTAAATCTACAGGGGCTACAAGTCACGCTGCTCCGGCGACGACAAACCTCTGGGACCTTTGAAACCCTGTGTGGTCATTTTCTCTCACAGTGACTGAAAAGAACTGTGGTGGGTGGGAACGGGAAAAAAAAAAAAGAGCCCCTCGCCACTCATAATACCAATCTTATGCATGTAGACGAAAACGGGAGGGATGGGAGGGGTTGGGGTTGTGTGGCAGATGGACTAAGGCACAATTTTAAAGCGCTTATTGAATTGCCATTACAGCTCCTGAGACTAATTGTGGCTGTTGTGCGTCTCTCGGCGGCCTAGCGGGCTCTGGAGTGGCCCTGTATGCTCTTACTCGGTGGGGTTTTCAGACCGAGTGGCCCTGAAAGAGAACAGGACCACCGTAGATCAATGGCAAAGCTTTCCCTCTTTCACAGGGCCTCGCTAATCCTTCTCATTTGTCTGCCATTTGTTGAGGCACATTCACAGCTCCCTGAATTTAGGATTAGGCCTTGTTTTGTTACAAAAACAGCCCGAGTTATAACGCTGAATGGACGGACTAAAGGGTGGACGACGGGTGAGTGTGTGCGTGAGTTTGTGGGCATGTGTGTGTGTGTGTGTGTGTGTCAGCTACACGCTACATGTATGTTTGACACAATTCATGAGAGAGCAGAACCTATTTAGGGTTTTGTCTTAAATCCCATTTCGTGTCACGAGTGGTGCAAAGATTATAGTTTTCTTTGGTTGCAGCTTCAATGTTCAGACAGTAACAATTTTAAAGAAGCAGAAGCAGAATCCTTGCGTGTGACATAATGTGATCATTTTGTCTTTAGGTGGGACTGGAGCTAACAATTTGAATAAAAAATGTCCAACATCGAGTAAGTAAGTCGTTGGCTTGTATTGAGAAAGTACACAAAAAGCCGAGTTCCACACAAGGTTTATAAAAAGGCATAAAAATTGCCAGAATTTTCTTTTAAAACACAAAGGTTTAAACCATTTGAATATTTGTTTATGATCATTATGTCCATTACAACGTGGCCTGCACAAATATCTAAATGCCTGTACGCCCGTATTAAATGTGCTCTTTTCTTTCCCATTCAAACACATATTTGAATTTAAAAAGAACAGTTTTTCTTTCCAAAAGGTTAAAGTTTTTTGATCAAAATCAAAATATGTGGTCAAATATGCAGAATTGACATGGGAGAATAATGTGTTGAAAAGGTCAAACTAAGTGATAACTTTAAAGCTAGAGGTAATGAACACAAATATCAGAGTTCTCCTTCACCGTTGTTCCGTCAAAAATATCTTTAAAGAACTAAAGGGCTTTTAACCGTTCCGCATGCTGTCTTTCTCAAATGTCCTCTGATGGCATCTGAGTTCACCGTCTCCTTTTGAAAATAAATATCTCATAAGAAAGAAGCAAAGCATGTACGAATTGATTCATCACAGTCAGAAACCTGCAGAGGAAATGCAATTTCATTAAAGTTGCAATGAATCCCTTTGAAGCCTCCCAGTTTGTCCTCGCCGGCCTTTTTTCGGCGGGGGCCGTCGGCCTTCTCATCGCCGAGTGGATTGGCGTTTGCGTCTGAAGCCGCTTACTGCACATCAGACGGGGGGGCGCTGAGTGGCACGTTCCCCTAAAGCCACGCCACGCCACGCCACGGGGCCGACCAGCACGACCCCATGTCGGGCATTCTCGGGATGCCTGCAGTCGTGCCAGACACCGGGGGACGAGGTGAGGAGGCGGAGGGAGGGATGATTGTGTGAATCGGGATGGATGAGGGGAAAAGTAAGGAAATCAAATGATTGTTGTTCTCATACGGGCGGATAAGCCGAAAAGAGTATTACGTCGGCAAGATGTGCCGAGGGAGAAGATGAGAGTTATTTGTTGGGTTGAAAGTAAAGCGAGGGGCGGTGAAGGAGAACTTTACTGTTGAATTGGTGGAGCAGTTGCCGAAAAAGGTTTTCAGTTTCACCCCGAAACGAATTATGGTCTAAAAAATGTGAATTTAAAAGAACAGGAAAGTCGTCATTTGCGTTCAAGCCGAGGGTCTGATGAGGATGTCGATCCCTCGCTCATGTCCGGACATCAAATATGACACTAGAGACGGCAAATTGTTAGCTTAGCTTAGCACAGCATAGCACAGCACAGTAGCATAGCATCTGGAAAACTGGGGCAAACCGGCAGTCTGGCTTTGTGAATGAAAAATTCCACCTATAAGCACCTCTAAAACTCTCTCATAAGGCATTATATAAATTAAGTTATATAGAGCTCACTGTGAAAACAGCAAGGTGTTTATGTGCTGCAACTATTTCCTGGCCTGGAGCAGTAAGCTTCACTGTGATGTTGCCGAGCAACCGTTGGAGACTTAAGACCAAACAAATGGGATATAATGTGGTAATTAACAGGCTTTATAGCTGCCGGTAAGCACGTCTCTTTTTCAACTTTGGATGGAGGCGGGCCAGTTTTTATGCTCACCTCATCTAATTTGCAGCCGGCTGCAGCTAATTAGCAGCTAGCCGCATTCGCCGCGTACGGACGTGAGAGTGCTGGTATTCTGTCAGAGATCCTGACACAGCGCAAGAAGATGAAACGCACCAATGGAACAGAAAAACACAAAAAGACATGAAACGTAAGAATGAAAGAGGAGGATCAGAAACGGTGGCGGCGGCCTTGAAGGGGCACTGAGCATCTCCTATAGCAGTAGCAGGCGTAGACGCATGTTGGCCACGGTCCCAGGCGACATCGCGAGGTTGTCTTTGGCTGTTAGGGACTGGAAAAGACCAAAGTCATGCAAAGTTTTAGTCGTGCCCAAGCCTATCCCCCCCCCGACCCCCCCGCTGTGTGCAGTCATTCTTCAGGCCCGTGGAACCAGACAGACGCTGTGTTCTGTCCATGCGTCCATGGCAGTACTTTCTTTTTTTTTAAACGTTATTCAAAGATTAACAGGTGTATTTTCCTCCTTAAAAGCAAATTTACTTCACGAACGGTGTTCAAATCTGCTTTCTTTATGGTGTTTGGGTGTGTGAGATGAAGCAGGTGGGAAGGCTTTTCGTTAGATTCAGGTCTGTGTGAGAGGTCTCAGGCTCTCAGCGTTCACTCTGTCCAGGGCTGCCGACGTGTCCGAGGAGAAAGAACTTGACAAGGGAACGCTCCTCCACTCAAATAACGGATAAAAACAACGCTTAAAAGCAAGCTGTGTATAAAGTCAGACCGATTGTGGAAGCCCTCCTCCTCATTGTTTCTGTGTCTGAGGAGTCAGCCCCTTCAGCTCAAGCCAGAAGGACTCGAGGTCGAATAAACTATGATGACAGCATAAAGAGCGCACAATTATCCATCGCAACCTCACTGATGAGGTGCGTGAATAAAGCCACGCACGGATTCCTCCTCATGTCACATCTCTTCAGCCTCAGGACCAGACTCAAGCTGACGTCATCGTCTCATCCGTAAACCTGCAAGACTCCGTTCATCGCAAATCGTGTAATTGCGCCGCCAGATATTGGGCCAGTTGGCTGTTTTCCTTTTCGTACAGCGCTGTCCCGCTGTCAGACGCACGTCCACGAGCTTTGGACGCAGCAGCGCAGGCGGACGCTGTGAGAAGATGCGACAGACTGTGACTCTCCGTCAGCTCGACGGCTCCCTCTCGTGGTGCGAAAGGGCAGAGCCGCCGCAAAGGGCCCGCTTTCAAACTCTGCCTCTCTCTGCTGGATGTCATGAGGTACTAACAGAGTAACACCGACAGCCGAGACGGTAATAACAGACGCAGTCATTGTAATAGCAGACGCAGAAGCGTGCGCCAGGCAAATTGTAGCACTTTAATTGTACTTGTAACGCCACTCATCTATAGCAAAGTGTAAATTGGCTTATTTGAGGAAATTGCACTTTCTTGTTTCTTGTTATTCTGAGTTTGTACCCCTGTGTTTGAATGCACTTATTGTAAGTCGCTTTGGATAAAAGCATCAGCTAAATGACATGTAATGTAATGTAGTTCATGCGTTGCGCACAGACGTCGCGTGCAGAAATGGGAAGCCTGCGGATTGTTTGATCTGGATGTGTTTGTTTCTGAGCCGGCTGTTCTTGCTGAAGAACATAAACTCTTTTCGTTCCTCATAGTTCAGTCATTTAGCGGTTGACTAACACACAAGGACAAGTGAGATGAGACTGCAGAGACAGAAAGAGTTGTCTTGTCACGTGAAGCACGACCCACACACTAATTTCATACTAAATTTACATGAAAATGACTTAATTACTCCGAGATAATGGTTGTGTTGGAAACTATTAAGCAATGCAAATGTAATCTGGTTCCTGTTTCAGATTACACTTGATGGCGTGCAAGTGAACAGCAGCGGCGTTGCATGATGTGGTGAGACAAGTCACTCTCAGATCAACCCGAGTGTGTGTCTGCAAGTGTTTATTGTGGCGGTGAGTCAGTTGTCTTCGAGTAGAGCGCAGCAGACTAGTTTCGGGACTGAAGTAGCATCAAAGGTTCAAGACAAATGTAACAGCGACAATTCCTTTCTTCTGTTACAGAGATATTACAGAAACATCCCTTTATCAGAATGTTACGTTTGTGTGAGGGTGAAGTCGTGCTCATGCTCTCATGCAAATGTGTAGAGTCCAGATCAAGCAGTGGTGGAAGAAGTAGAAGTAAGAATACATATATATATATATGTATATATATATATATATATACATATATATATATAATCTATGAAGATATTAGAAATAAATATACTTTAAGTACCAGGGTAAATATACTCATTATGTAAAATGGTCCATTTCAAAATACTGAATGTATTATTATGAGATTCTAATTATCTGTGAACATCGCTTTAATGTTGCGGCTGAGGAATTTGGATTAATTTTAATATTCCCAAAACCTCTGAGGGAAAGTTTAAAGCATGACTACTCTCTCTCTCTCTCTCTCTGCACGAGCTGCAGAGCCTCCTGCAGCCAAACGGTCACACTGAATAAACACACATCTAAATAGTGTTTCTGGTCGGCAAAAAGCATTCAGCAATAAAATAAATACATATCTTTCATCGCGCTTAAAAAAAAAACCATCTGCCGCTGTCTGTGATGATGAAAGATGTGATGTGGTTTCAGAACTGCAGCTGTGGAAATATTGATGCTCAGATCTGCCGATGTGGTTTCTGTGGAACAAGTTAGCTGGAAACCAGAAACCAGGTTGTTTCATTTTAATGATCATCGATAACTTATCTTTGTTTCCCGCTCTGCACGAAGGGTAATTTCGCAAAGGAAACCCACAAGGGAAGAAAATAAAGGCAATAAACTAGTAAAACTACCTTGTGTGGGTTATTGATTCATGCTAAACAAGTCTACTTGCAGCCAAGTCATTCAACGTGTTGATGTTGTATTGAGTTGCAGTAAAAACAAAGTAAAGGGCTAATGTGGCTTTAGTTGCTCTTCCTCTGCATGCTTCAGCACCTCTCGTATGTTGTGTGTGTGTGTGTGTTGAATGGGAATCATCACACACTCATGTCTGATTCACATATCTTGCATGCCATCATAATGCATGCCACACACACTCACACACACACACACGCGCGCTTGCCAGACGTCTAGAATGCTGCACACTAGAGACCGTGAGAACGTACAAAATTAAAGCTGCGGTTCCTTTTCTGTGACGCATTTTAGTTTTGTGGTGCAACGTCACACTGACAGAAGACAAGAACATCCCAAAGGTCACAGCTCGATGGACTCAAACTGAACGGTCTCAAGACGGTGGGTGGAGAACGTTTAAGAACTCTAAGAAACGATGAAACATTTGCTCGAAGTGCCACGCACGCGGAACACAGAGGCGTAAAGTGATCTGGATTTGGCGAAGCGGGGCCCCGTGCCTTCCTTCGGAGGTCACTTTGCACGCCGCTTGAAGCTGTTGCAAAAGTGGTAAATACACCATTCTTGCTTTGCATCCAGGCCTCAAACCAAAGGGGTCTCAAGAAAACATCGAATGACACCGAACTGGTCCCCTGCTGACCACATCCTGCGTCTATCCGTCAGGCTGCAGAAGCAGCTCGACCACACGCTGTCTATTCAGCGTTAGAGCGGCAATGATTAATTTCTCTGCTAACCTCAGTGCGAGGTATACGTGTTTTACCGGCGCACACAGGATGTAGGTCGGGGCGTCTCTCCGGGGTCGACTTTGGTATAAAAGCGGCGACACCTCGGAGGCGCCGGGTCGAGCATCGCCAGCGCCATGGAGGCCCCGCGCAGCGTCCTGCTTTGTCTTCTCCTGGCGTGTCTCGGACTTCACGGTGAGAGCGACCCGTCCGCGCGTTGGTCTCTGACCACCAAATGCAGCATTGACCCGTCCTCTGTTCCCTCTTGTGTTTTCAGCACTCGGGAGTGAAATCATTAAAGGGCAAAAGGCCCCGGAGAAGGATTTTCTGTACATGGCCTCAGTGCAGGACAAAAGTCGTCACCACGTATGTGGAGGATTCCTCATCGATAAAAACTTCGTGGTCACCGCGGCGCACTGCGCGGACAGGTGAGTTCACTTTCAGCGGTCACAAATTTAAAGAATGAGACGTTACATTTGCAAATCAACTTATTTCCGCCACGCCACCACCGCTCAGAGAACCCACCAGCGTCGTTCTTGGAAGCCACAATCTCCGGACGGCGAAGAAAGTCAACAGATACAACGTGAAACTCTGCAAGCATCCGTCTTATGTGGGGATTAAAAAAGGGGACGACATCATGCTCCTCAAAGTAAGTACATGTTTAACCGGACAACAAAGGTTCTTACTCTTCTGTTCAATAATAAAAGCACTGGCATCAGCACAAAGAGCAGCTCATCTTCCACTCATTATTTTAGCATTTCAATCGTGAAGGAGGACGAGATGCGTGCGGTAAATTGGTCCTTGCCGGTTGTGAAATGTCCCTTTGTCTCTCTGTGTGTCTCCAGCTGTCGAGGAAAGTTCGACTGGATAAAAGCGTCAAACCGATTCAACTTCCCAACGGTAACATGAAGATAAAAGACAAATCAAACTGCCGGGTAGCCGGATGGGGTTGGACAAGAAGTCAGGGTGAAGTGGTCCATGAGCTGAACGCGGTCGACGTGCCCGTCGTGAACCTGAAGGTCTGTAGGGAGCAATGGGCTCAAATTAAATTTAATCTTACGGCCAATGTCATCTGTGCAGGCGGCTACGGCACAGACAAAGGATTCTGCCAGGTACGTCTTCTGTCCGTTCATTACAAAAAACGTGGCGCCACTGGTTTCTTGTCTTGTGGAATCGAATAAACAGAGACTTCCTCCTCCTCACAGGGTGATTCTGGAGGCCCCCTGGTGTGCAACGGGAAGCCGGTTGGTGTCGTGTCGTTCAACATGAAGAGGAACTGTGACTATCCAAATGTTCCCAACGTGTACACAGACATAATAAAGTACCTTCCCTGGATCAAGCAGGTTCTCAAGAAGAGAAGTTGTTAAATGCTCTAATGCAGGTTTCCACTTCTTCATCAGGTCTCATGACACACTTTCTTTATCTTCATGAGCTGGCTGATGTGTTGGACAATAAATATTGTTTTCAATATTGCAGTGCAACTGTGCAAGCCTTGTGACCGTGTGTTGTTTTTGCTTTAAACAAAGGTTTATCTTGGGGAGATATTTTTGTATGGTCCTATTGTGGCTTTTGGTCCACATCTAAGATGGAAATACTGCATATTTATTACCGTGGTTACACAAAAAATATCAGTCAGGGGTTGTGACCAAATATTACAAACTAGATGAAGTTTATGAGCGGACTGTGTGACCGTTAATGTAACACACAAGGTCAAGAAGCAAGTCCATTTTTCTTTATTTAAATATATGCTTTTGGTGAGAGCACAATATGACATACAACAGTCAACAAACGAGTATTTTGTTTGAAATGGTAAAGAGAAAAGAACAGGAGAATAAAGCAAACTAACAATTTGGAGGAAAATTAGGAAAAGAAAGGAAGAAAACATGACAAACATAGTGTATTAATACGTGTGATTTTTTAGGGGGGGGTTCTCAGTCCGTGAAGCACACAAACCAGAAATCTGCCTCCAATTAGGAACCACGTTGCTGCAATAACAAGTGAAAAAACCTGCCAGGTAAAGAATCCAAGCAGTGTCTTGGTCAATTAAATAAAATCCTATTAAAAGCCATTTAAATCTGTGGTTATACCACGACAACATGTAGAAAAGTCCAAGAATAGTGAATACCGTTATATGATGGACGATATTAGCAAAATCATAAACGGGTCGATCGCCCCGGAGCACTCGTTGCCGTACATGGTGTCGGTGCAGAGCGTGGACGATCACATCAACGGTCACATCTGTGGAGGGTTCCTGGTCAGCGAGGACTTCGTGCTCACTGCTGCGCACTGTGACAAGTGAGTAACATGTCTTCCTCCGGCAATATTTAAATCACGTAATGCAAGATATGTGACCATCCGGTCTGTCATGTCTCATTCAGTAAAATCGAACAGGTTGCTGTTGGCATCAACAATCTCAACGATAACAATAGAAAATTAATGGACGTCGAAGGCAGATACAAACACCCATCCTATTCAAGTGTAGGACACGGTTATGACATCATGCTCCTCAAAGTAAGCATTTAAATCCACGTGGCATCAGAGCGTTGTTGGGTCATCTCCAAATCGCAGAGATTGGATTCATTTTAACGTTGTGCGTCTCCAGCTTTCCTCGAAGGTTAAACTGGACAAAGCGGTACAAACGATTCCTCTCGCCACATCTGAAACAAGCGGTGGGCAGAGGTGCCACGTGGCCGGATGGGGACGTACGGAGAAGACCTACAAAAGTGATGATCTGAGAGTGGTGGATGTCACCATCCTCGACCTGGAGGAATGTCAGGAGATTTGGGGTCGTCTCCCCGACAAAGTTTTCTGCGCAGGCGGGTATGAAACCAGGAAAGGATTCTGTCAGGTGGGTTTCCTCTCTTAGTAGAACACGTCAGATGGTTTAGAAACGCTGCAGACATCTTAAATCTCAGAATGAAGAAGCTAAAGATCCTCTTGCTCCTCCCAGGGAGATTCTGGTGGCCCTCTGGTGTGCGACGGGGAGGCGGTCGGTGTTGTGTCCTTCAACAGGTACCAGATCTGCGAATACCCGGACAAACCCAACGTCTACACCGACGTGTACGAGCACCTTGCCTGGATCCAGAAGACCATCAAAAGCTACAGCTAAAAAACCTGCGGTGTGACCGAAAAGCTTAATAAAAGTTCATTTCAAAAGGCAGCCTTTGGTTTCCTTTAACAATGTGAAAGAACGAAAACATAAATTGTACAATAGAATACGTAAAATGAACAATAAGGGATTGTTGTTGTATGCGGATACCGAGAAAATAAAAAAACGTGTCTCAAGAATGGGAAATAACGTAGATTGAAGTCGGCTGAAGAGCAGTCAGAGCCGCCAGCGGAAGATGTTTTGAGCAAAAGTGAGTCACCTCGACCGCGAGAGGCCCTCGAGCACGAAGCCACAATCGGGCCCCCCCCCCGAACGCGGGTCTCCATCCCGCAGCAGCTCCCGTCCATGAGATCGCGGTTCACATCTTTCACAGAAGCACGTTGCAGCCGGCGCGAACGCTGTGTTGAGGTTACTTTGTCACACGCTTCAAAGAAATGTTTCCGCAGAGCAACGCAAAAGAGCCACAGGGCCGCTTCTATGTCGTCTCACTGTTTATTCACTAAAGTTGACTAAAACACGGCACTTTCAACTTAATCTTGATTTAAAATGCTGTATTTTTTAGCTTTAGGTGGTAACAGGCTTCATCAGGGGATGTGTCACACTCACCTGCCAGCTCGATCTTCCACACCTGCCCCGCATCCACAATCAGTCACTCTCCTGCCTTCCACACCTGCTTCGCATTCACAATCAGCCCCGCTACATAAGCACTGCACACCCAGCCTGTCATTGCCAGATTGTTCTTCGCGTCATGCAAGTCTCTCCAGCACTCTACCTTGGACTGATCTCCTGGTTTCGACCCTGCCTGTTCCCGATCCGTTCGTCTGTCTCCGCCCCGGTGAGCACGTCAGCCTTCTGTCCCCGACCACGAGTCCTGCCTGAGCGCCTCAGGTTTCTGTTGCCTGCTCCTTGGACTGCTCGGCGCTTCTGCCCTTGTGCTCCGGATCCCCGACCGGCCCAGCGATCGCACCAGCTGTCTCCCGGCATCTCCTCCCCGATCCAGAGGACCGCACTCTGCTCTGCCTCTCATTGTGCCCGAACGCCTGCTGTGAGGCCGTGTTCAATAAAAGCGTTAACCAAACACTCCGTGCCGTTGTGCTGCATTTGGCTCCGCCAAACGCCCGTGTCAGGATGTAAAAGTGTATTCAAGTCAAGAAAGCAAACGTGAAATGCTCCTCAAATGCTCGACACTAATATCGTATGTGTAATATTGACACTGGTCGAGCAGCTGCAGTAACTATGTTCCATTACGCAAAACCACATTCTTTCTTAAGAACTCTTTTTTAACATTCAACACATCGCAACGTAATAAAAAGAGGAAGGCAAAATAACTCTGCAGACATTACCATTTTGTAATAAACCATCCAACCAAGCAGAATATCCCAAATATAAGCACACATTTTGCACTATTGCTTTCTCTTTTTTGATTACTTTGTGGACTTTAATTACCGTTTATCCCAAAACGTTTAAGTCTGCTAAAGTGTCGCTCGGTAGAGCGCGTTGGTGTGAACCCTCGCGGCATCGCGGGCCTCCGAGCAGCGGTTATATATTTCAAACCCCGCCAGTTTCTTGCATCAATTATGAAGCCCGGTTTTGGAAATCTAAAAACCGCATCTTTTGTAATCCCACCAACGACTTGGAATGCAGCAATAACCACTCCGGGACACGCAAGACGTTTTTCTTCTCTTAAAATGACAGAGCCAAGAGGAGACGGCGTGGATTCGACCAGATACCATGGCGACCATCGTGATGCTGCTGCTGCTCGTCCTGGGTGGTGAGCGGTCCATTACACATCTGCATTTAAACCAGAAAACAACAACCTGGATGCACAAATAACGCTCTGCGACTTCTGTTCTTTCAGGGGCTGATGGTTCGCACATCGTTGGAGGCAGAGATGCCGCCCCGCAGTCTCGCCCCTACATGGCATCCCTGCAAATCCGAGGTCAGCACAACTGCGGGGGGGCCCTGGTGAGGGAGGACTTCGTGCCCACCGCAGCACACTGCCAGATACGCGGGTAAGAGGATTTTTTCTTTTGTAACGAAACATGTCGTTTATCCCGGGGTTTTTTTTAAATCGTGGCCACACATTTTATTTCACACGGAAATCAAACGAGCTGGGTCATTTCAGTTTGCCAGACGTCAGCAGTCAGGGACGCTCTCTCTGATGAACGTTCACTCCCGCGCGAGGAGATGAACTGCGCTTGGCGCGGTGATTTACCTCCCCAGAGGGCTACGACCTTGACAGCACCTCTAGTGTCCAGACGTCCTTGCGCTTTGCTCTCCAGGCAGTACACCGTCGTGCTCGGAGCCGATTCCCTGACCGCCAACGAGGCCACGAAGCAGGAGTTCCGCGCGGTCAGATCCATTCCACATCCCGACTACACCGCCAACGAGAACGACATCATGCTCCTAAAGGTGAGGACAGTTTGAATAGCTGTGGACTAAATGTGTGTTCGATCGGACTTTAGAATCAGAGGAATTATCTTAATTAGTGGTCTCCGGTTTAAAAAAACTAAACAAATTGAAATTGTGGCACCATCGATGTGCTGGTCTCAGCTCAGCAGCAGAGCCAGTCTGACCCAAGCAGTGCAGCTGATTGGGCTGAAGAGTGGCAGGATGAGGGCAGGGGGCCAGTGCCTCACAGCCGGCTGGGGGGACGTAGGGGACAACGGCACCTCACCAGAGAGGCTGCAGGAGGTCAACGTGACCATCCTGCCGCAGAGGACGTGTAGTAGGAGATGGAGAGGCACGCAGAACACAGAGGCGTAAAGTGATTTGGCGAAGCGGGGCCCCGTGCCTTCCTTCGGAGGTCACTTTGCACGGCGCTTAAAGCTGTTGCAAAAGTGGTAAATACACCATTCTTGCTTTGCATCCAGGCCTCAAACCAAAGGGGTCTCAAGAAAACATCAAATGACACCGAACTGGTCCCCTGCTGACCACATCCTGCGTCTATCCGTCAGGCTGCAGAAGCAGCTCAACCACACGCTGTCTATTCAGCGTTAGATCGGCAATGATTAATTTCTCTGCTAACCTCAGTGCGAGGTATACGTGTTTTACCGGCGCACACAGGATGTAGGTCGGGGCGTCTCTCCGGGGTCGACTTTGGTATAAAAGCGGCGACACCTCGGAGGCGCCGGGTCGAGCATCGCCAGCGCCATGGAGGCCCCGCGCAGCGTCCTGCTTTGTCTTCTCCTGGCGTGTCTCGGACTTCACGGTGAGAGCGACCCGTCCGCGCGTTGGTCTCTGACCACCAAATGCAGCATTGACCCGTCCTCTGTTCCCTCTTGTGTTTTCAGCACTCGGGAGTGAAATCATTAAAGGGCAAAAGGCCCCGGAGAAGGATTTTCTGTACATGGCCTCAGTGCAGGACAAAAGTCGTCACCACGTATGTGGAGGATTCCTCATCGATAAAAACTTCGTGGTCACCGCGGCGCACTGCGCGAACGAGTGAGTTCACTTTCAGCAGTCACAAATTTAAAGAATGAGACGTTACATTTGCAAATCAACTTATTTCCGCCACGCCACCACCGCTCAGCGAACCCACCAGCGTCGTTCTTGGAAGCCACAATCTCCGGACGGCGAAGGATGTCAACAGATACGACGTGAAACTCTGCAAGCATCCTTCTTATGTGGGGATTGAAGAAGGGGACGACATCATGCTCCTCAAAGTAAGTACATGTTTAACCGGACAACAGAGGTTCTTACTCTTCTGTTCAATAATAAAAGCACTGGCATCAGCACAAAGAGCAGCTCATCTTCCACTCATTATTTTAGCATTTCAATCGTGAAGGAGGACGAGATGCGTGCGGTAAATTGGTCCTTGCCGGTTGTGAAATGTCCCTTTGTCTCTCTGTGTGTCTCCAGCTGTCGAGGAAAGTTCGACTGGATAAAAGCGTCAAACCGATTCAACTTCTCAACGGTAACATGAAGATAAAAGACAAATCAAACTGCCGGGTAGCCGGATGGGGTTGGACAAGAAGTCAGGGTAAAATGGTCAATGAGCTGAACGTGGTCGACGTGCCCGTCGTGAACCTGGAGGTCTGTAAGAAGCAATGGGCTAAACTTCCGGCCAATGTCATCTGTGCAGGCGGCTACGGCACAGACAAAGGATTCTGCCGGGTACGTCTTCTGTCCGTTCATTACAAAAAACGTGGCGCCACTGGTTTCTTGTCTTGTGGAATCGAATAAACAAAGACGCTTCCTCCTCCTCACAGGGTGATTCTGGAGGCCCCCTGGTGTGCAACGGGAAGCCGGTTGGTGTCGTGTCGTTCAACATGAGGAACGAGAGGAACTGTGACTATCCAAATGTTCCCAACGTGTACACGGACATAATAAAGTACCTTCCCTGGATCAAGCAGGTTCTCAAGAAGAGAAGTTGTTAAATGCTCTAATGCAGGTTTCCACTTCTTCATCAGGTCTCATGACACACTTTCTTTATCTTCATGAGCTGGCTGATGTGTTGGACAATAAATATTGTTTTCAATATTGCAGTGCAACTGTGCAAGCCTTGTGACCGTGTGTTGTTTTTGCTTTAAACAAAGGTTTATCTTGGGGAGATATTTTTGTATGGTCCTATTGTGGCTTTTGGTCTACATCTAAGATGGAAATACTGCATATTTATTACCGTGGTTACACAAAAAATATCAGTCAGGGGTTGTGACCAAATATTACAAACTAGATGAAGTTTATGAGCGGACTGTGTGACCGTTAATGTAACACACAAGGTCAAGAAGCAAGTCCATTTTTCTTTATTTAAATATATGCTTTTGGTGAGAGCACAATATTACATACAACAGTCAACAAATGAGTATTTTGTTTGAAATGGTAAAGAGAAAAGAACAGGAGAATAAAGCAAACTAACAATTTGGAGGAAAATTAGGAAAAAAAAGAAACCAAAAAGAAAAGAAAACATGACAAACATAGTGTATTAATACGTGTGATTTTTTAGGGGGGGCTTCTCAGTCCGTGAAGCACACAAACCAGAAATCTGCCTCCAATTAGGAACCACGTTGCTGCAAAAACAAGTGAAAAAAACTGCCAGGTAAAGAATCCAAGCAGTGTCTTGGTCAATTAAATAAAATCCTATTAAAAGCCATTTAAATCTGTGGTTATACCACGACAACATGTAGAAAAGTCCAAGAGGAGTGAATACCGTTATATGATGGACGACATTATACACATTGGCATTAGTTTCACAACCACGAGAAATAAACTAGAACACGAAACTGGCTTTATTGTGGTGAGATGCAGATGGTGTTAAGAATAATTTCGTTGCATGTTTGCACCAATTAGATTACCACAATAACAGCTCACACGCTGAGACCAAATCAAAGCACCAAACTGTCACTTGTCGTGAAATAAATGAACAACAAACTGTGAGCGAGTCATTCCATTTACCCAGTTAAAGTGCGCCTATTGTGAACTTGTGAGAAGTCGGTGCACAACCAACGTTTGAAGCGTGTGGCAAATAAATCATGAGCAAAATAAAAGTGGGAGGAGAATCCAGCGGGTATTCACAGTGAACACGTGTGCCCACAGTTCAATAGTTCACATAATGCTGCTGTTATTCGCTCACCCATTGCTCAGCAGTATTCATATCAAACGGAGACAGCAGGAGGCTCAAATTGTCCCTACGATGGTGAATACTGAATGACACAGGATGTGACACATTGCGTTACCCACATCGCATGCTAATCAGCAAGCGAAATCACGCTGTTGTGGCATCAGAGATTAATGCAAAGGAAACGTTGCAAGTTTGCAAACAGATATTGATCAAAGGATGCGGTTAAGGATTTGTGTATAAGAGGGTCGACTTGACGGCCCCCGAGGAGGAGCAGAGGTCACTTGTCTGGCTGCCATCATGCTCGCCGCGCACAAACTTCTGCTTCTTCATATCCTGGCGTCTCTCGGACCAATCGGTAAGATTTCAGAACCATTTAACGTGAGGCGCGAGCGGGGTTTTTTTTAAAAAAACTTTTCCTTTATCTTTGCAGCAGACGGGAGCAAAATCATAAACGGGTCGATCGCCCCGGAGCACTCGTTGCCGTACATGGTGTCGGTGCAGAGCGTGGACGATCACATCAACGGTCACATCTGTGGAGGGTTCCTGGTCAGCGAGGACTTCGTGCTCACTGCTGCGCACTGTGACAAGTGAGTAACATGTCTTCCTCCGGCAATATTTAAATCACGTAATGCAACATATGTGACCATCCGGTCTGTCATGTCTCATTCAGTAAAATCGAACAGGTTGCTGTTGGCATCAACAATCTCAACGATAACAATAGAAAATTAATGGACGTCGAAGGCAGATACAAACACCCATCCTATTCAAGTGTAGGACACGGTTATGACATCATGCTCCTCAAAGTAAGCATTTAAATCCACGTGGCATCAGAGCGTTGTTGGGTCATCTCCAAATCGCAGAGATTGGATTCATTTTAACGTTGTGCGTCTCCAGCTTTCCTCGAAGGTTAAACTGGACAAAGCGGTACAAACGATTCCTCTCGCCACATCTGAAACAAGCGGTGGGCAGAGGTGCCACGTGGCCGGATGGGGACGTACGGAGAAGATCTACAAAAGTGATGATCTGAGAGTGGTGGATGTCTCCATCCTCGACCTGGAGGAATGTCGGAAGATTTGGGGTCGTCTCCCCGACAAAGTTATCTGCGCAGGCGGGTATGAAACCAGGAAAGGATTCTGTCAGGTGGGTTTCCTCTCTTAGTAGAACACGTCAGATGGTTTAGAAACGCTGCAGACATCTTCAATCTCAGAATGAAGAAGCTAAAGATCCTCTTGCTCCTCCCAGGGAGATTCTGGTGGCCCTCTGGTGTGCGACGGGGAGGCGGTCGGTGTTGTGTCCTTCAACAGGTACCAGATCTGCGAATACCCGGACAAACCCAACGTCTACACCGACGTGTACGAGCACCTTGCCTGGATCCAGAAGACCATCAAAAGCTACAGCTAAAAAACCTGCGGTGTGACCGAAAAGCTTAATAAAAGTTCATTTCAAAGGGCAGCCTTTGGTTTCCTTTATCAATGTGAAAGAACGAAAACATAAATTGTACAATAGAATACGTAAAATGAACAATAAGGGATTGTTGTTGTATGCGGATACCGAGAAAATAAAAAAACGTGTCCCTCAATCGGGCCCCCCCCCCCCCGAACGCGGGTCTCCATCCCGCAGCAGCTCCCGTCCATGAGATCGCGGTTCACATCTTTCACAGAAGCACGTTGCAGCCGGCGCGAACGCTGTGTTGAGGTTACTTTGTCACACGCTTCAAAGAAATGTTTCCGCAGAGCAACGCAAAAGAGCCACAGGGCCGCTTCTATGTCGTCTCACTGTTTATTCACTAAGGTTGACTAAAACACGGCACTTTCAACTTAATCGTGATTTAAAATGCTGTATTTTTTAGCTTTATGTGGTAACAGTCTTCATCAGGGGATGTAAAAGTGTATTCAAGTCAAGAAAGCAAATGCGAAATGCTCCTCAAATGCTCGACACTAATATCGTATGTGTAATATTGACACTGGTCGAGCAGCTGCAGTAACTATGTTCCATTACGCAAAACCACATTCTTTCTTAAGAACTCTTTTTTAACCTTCAACATATCGCAACGTAATAAAAAGAGGAAGGCAAAATAACTCTGCAGACATTACCATTTTGTAATAAACCATCCAACCAAGCAGAATATCCCAAATATAAGCACACATTTTGCACTATTGCTTTCTCTTTTTTGATTACTTTGTGGACTTTAATTACCGTTTATCCCAAAACGTTTAAGTCTGCTAAAGTGTCGCTCGGTAGAGCGCGTTGGTGTGAACCCTCGCGGCATCGCGGGCCTCCGAGCAGCGGTTATATATTTCAAACCCCGCCAGTTTCTTGCATCAATTATGAAGCCCGGTTTTGGAAATCTAAAAACCGCATCTTTTGTAATCCCACCAACGACTTGGAATGCAGCAATAACCACTCCGGGACACGCAAGACGTTTTTCTTCTCTTAAAATGACAGAGCCAAGAGGAGACGGCGTGGATTCGACCAGATACCATGGCGACCATCGTGATGCTGCTGCTGCTCGTCCTGGGTGGTGAGCGGTCCATTACACATCTGCATTTAAACCAGAAAACAACAACCTGGATGCACAAATAACGCTCTGCGACTTCTGTTCTTTCAGGGGCTGATGGTTCGCACATCGTTGGAGGCAGAGATGCCGCCCCGCAGTCTCGCCCCTACATGGCCTCCCTGCAAATCCGAGGTCAGCACAACTGCGGGGGGGCCCTGGTGAGGGAGGACTTCGTGCTCACCGCAGCACACTGCCAGATACGCGGGTAAGAGGATTTTTTCTTTTGTAACGAAACACGTCGTTTATCCCGTTTTTTTTTTTTTTAATCGTGGCCACACATTTTATTTCACACGGAAATCAAACGAGCTGGGTCATTTCAGTTTCACTCCCGCGCGAGGAGATGCACTGCGCTTGGCGCGGTGATTTCCCTCCCCAGAGGGCTACGATCGGCCTTGACAGCACCTCTAGTGTCCAGACGTCCTTGCGCTTTGCTCTCCAGGCAGTACACCGTCGTGCTCGGAGCCGATTCCCTGACCGCCAACGAGGCCACGAAGCAGGAGTTCCGCGCGGTCAGATCCATTCCACATCCCGACTACACCGCCAACGAGAACGAGAACGACATCATGCTCCTAAAGGTGAGGACAGTTTGAATAGCTGTGGACTCAATGTGTGTTCAATCGGACTTTAGAATCAGAGGAATTATCTTAATTAGTGGTCTCCGGTTTAAAAAAACTAAACGAATTGAAATTGTGGCACCATCGATGTGCTGGTCTCAGCTCAGCAGCAGAGCCAGTCTGACCCAAGCAGTGCAGCTGATTGGGCTGAAGAGCGGCCGGATGAGGGCAGACGGCCAGTGCCTCACAGCCGGCTGGGGGGACGTAGGGGACAACGGCACCTTACCAGAGAGGCTGCAGGAGGTCAACGTGACCATCCTGCCGCAGAGGACGTGTAGTAGGAGATGGAGAGGCGTTCCCATCACCAGGACCATGGTTTGTGGCGTCGGGGCCGGCAGCATTCAAGGCTTCTGCTCGGTAAGATACGGACAATTTTATTCTGTAAACATCTCAGATTATCCCGTTCATAGAGAGACTTTTATTGAACACAGAGAAAAAAAAGAAGGTTGTTTTAATGTGAGCGCAGCGCCTGTTAACTGTCAGGCGTTGTCTTTGTGTTTAAAGGGGGATTCGGGCGGACCGTTGGTGTGCGAAGGAGGTGCAGCGGGCGTCGTCTCCTTCTCCGGACGCCGGTGCGGAAACCCCAGGACCCCCGATGTCTACACACGCGTGTCGTCCTTCAGCGATTGGATCGCAGACGTGCTAAGAAATAACTGAGCAGATTGGATTGATCGGTGACGAGTCAACGCACTTGATTGGGATCTACGTTTCAAGACAAGGCTCTTTTTAGCACACAAGCGTGGGATGGTGTTGTGCTTTACTTTCTGTTTAACAATGCGGTGCTGCAGGGACGGATGTGGTGGATTGTGTTTTTGTGACTTTTTGTTTCTCAGAGAGTTGAATGTAACACAAAAATGGCAATGAAAAAGCAAGTTGAATTGGGAAGATGTGAGATAAAGAGCCACCCCTATGTAACCATATGTTTGCAAACTTTGGAGAAAATTGTATTTTTTTGGATCACCTTCTGTTCATGTTTGCATTTGAAAGTTTTGCTTTACTTACATCACGGTTTGTCGTGTAGTCCAGTCGATGAGGCGGATCAACGAATAAAAGCTTGATGCCTGTCTGCAAAGAAATAAAGTAACTTTCGCTTTGTCACATGAACAAAAAAATTAATTTCTGTAGAGTAAATTAAAAAAATACTACTTTGCCTGCAAGCGTGACCTGTGCACCCCTGGTACTAAAAGAAAAGTCAGAAAAATCAGAGGGTGACAATTTATTAACAGTTTATATCAACCACAACATGTCAGAATACTTTTTCATACCCACACATTTTACTTCTGTACGAATATGCACAGAAGGCCGTATTTCAGGTGTGAGATGCATGTAGTGGTAAAATATATTATAACATTGTTTTGTGCTATAGCCGTGTCTCAAGTGTCCTGTATTTGACCCCGATGTGCAAAGAGCAGCATGATACAAAATGTTGCTGTGCAACTGTGTCCTGAGAAGGGGGGACGGTCGACTCGATCTCATAGAAGGTTTAAAACAAAGGACTTCTGTTCATGGCCTTGGTTCATGTCTTATTCGGTACGAAAGTTCCGGATCCACGTTTTTACTTTATGTCAATTAATTATGATTTGCACCGGCCACTGAGGAGGATCTTGTGTGTGTGTGTGCTACCCTCAGCTTCACCTGGGTTCTTATCTCAACCTGCTTTGCAGCTTCTCGTAGCTGGCACGGAGAATGTCCTTCACATGTGTATAAAAACTCAGCGTTCTTACTGCTCGGAGACGTCATTACGGCGAGCGCTGAGATACGTGCTGGTGTGTCGGACCTCCTGCTTGCAAGCAATAGTTAGAGCCAGATATCTGCGACCATTCAATGACCATTCAAAGATCATCACCCCCTGCTGCTCCCATTTGAAACTGCACTTTCAAGTTTAATTTAATTTGAGAAATGTAATTTTCTCCGCTTCAGCTGTGTAGAAGACAACATGTGTATCAAGCTTGGTAGTGTAGCTGATTTTCTGAAAGAAGCATGTTGCAATGGACAGTATATTTTAGACAGAGCACACTCTGAAATATTAAATTAAAATGTAACAAAGACAAATACAACACAAAAAAAGACAGACATTCGTGTTTTTCGAAAACAAGAAACATACCAAAATAAATCACTATGTGTTGGATCGGGTAAGGCCTTTATTACACTTTGTGAATCATTTAATCAAAGTTTAATTTCCAAAATACAATTCCTCAACAGAGCATGAAAACAACTTTCATAAGAACTTTCTACCGCAATTCTCTCTCTGCCCCTTTAAGTCCAATTCTAAGAAACTGGCGTCACAGAAAATCGCGGCCTCACTTCCCTTGTGACGCTCGGCTGCGTCGTGCACGTTTCCACGTCAATCACACGCACTGATGTCGCAATTGTGCTTTTTCCGAAAACACTCTAACGCAGCACGCAATGCCCGTCTACAACACCTGTGTAACTTCGCTCGTAAAAAAGCAAAACTCCATAATCACTGTCACATAAAAAAAAAAACTCAAACTCCCGGCGTCCATTGCGCGCCCGTTCACCCACGTCTCTGCGGCCGCGGACACCGAGGGCTCGCCGGGAAGTAGAGTCTCGCCGCCGCATCTCCCATTTTTCCACAGGTTTCGCGAGATTTTCACAGGCGGGTTTGACGTGTGGCAGCATTTCTCTGCCGGGCGTACCGAACGATAACCCCGACATGAAATCTGCGTAAAACGTAACGGTAAGACACCGTTAACGTCTGCCGTTAGCACCCCCGGTGTTCGCTCCCCGGTCGCCAGGGACACCCGAGGAGCGGGCGCAGTTAGCTTTTAGAAGCTAGCCGCCTCCACTTATCGCTCAGCAACATCTGCATTGAACGCTAGCACTGACGGGCGGTTTAGATGACCTGCGGCGGGCGGTGGAGGTGTGTTGGGTGCAGTCCGCCACAGGTGGTGTACGCCGTCACCAGTTCGCGTCGTTTACCGGCCCTCGCCTCCTTCGTATGTTACATGTGTGCGGCTAATGCACAAGTTGCCTCCCGTGGAACGCGCGCGGCTAACGTGACACACTGTTAATCCGTCACGTACAGCGAAATGGCTGACACGTCCTCTTAAAGTTGTCTCATATGAATGTTTTGTTTTTTGGTATTGGCTTTTTCTTTTTTCTTTTTTTAAACGAGAATGACAGACGGCGAACCGTGACCTCCATGGCCGTGTGGTTAAAGTGAATTACCAGGAAGTGGTTGCGTCGCGCCGGCCCATTGGCTGCCGGAGGTGTCACTCTCGCGGTGCCGCGGCACGTGAGACGTTTGGCAGCTGTCTTACTCACTCACACAATAATTGCCTCCCGTGCGCTGTCTGTCTTTCTTCCACAGTGGCCTTTTGACTTTCTGGAGGCATGTCCAAGAAAAGGGGCAGGTACGTAGAAGCAAAGCTGCCGTCCACGTCATCACGTGATGCCCTTAATGATGGGCTTTTTAACAGAATGTAATAGTAGCTACAATGTCACAAACAGTTCCACGTCAAAGCGGTCAATACACGTATACCGCAGTATAGCCCTTACACACACACACATATATATATTTACGTCTGGAACGAATGAATGAAGAATTTGTTGTCGTATGGCGTTATCAGAAAGCGGAGCAGCGGGGAGCTGAGCGACGCGTTGACCCCGGACCCCAACAGCATTCTGGGAGTCCGCATTCAGCACAACTGGCGCGAGAAGGGCAACCAGAGCAAGTGGAAGGGGACGGTGCTGGACAGGCTCAGCGTGAACCCGTCCCTCTTCATGGTGAAGTACGACGGCTTCGACTGCGTCTACGGCATCGAGCTGTTCAAGGACGAGAGGGTGTCGAGCCTGCAGGTCCTGACGGAGAAAGTCGGTGAGTCAGTGAGCCGCTCCTTTTTTCTTTCTTTTCTTTTTTTCTATATGAAAAATAAAGTTGCATTATTTTCACTCGTTTTATGCATCGCCACGTTGCTCGCTTTCATATTGCACGTCCTTTTGCGGCTGTGTCTCCTCAGTAAACAACAAGATTAAGATTCCGCCGGGGGCGGAGGAGCTGGTGGGCAAAGCTGTGGAGCATCTGTTTGAAAAGGAGGATGGAGAGAAGAACGAGTGGCGAGGCATGGTCCTCTCCAGAGCTCCCATCATGACCAACTGGTATTATATCACTTATGAAAAGGACCCCGTACTTTATATGTACCAGCTGTGGGACGACTACGCTGACGGAGACCTCCGGATTCTGCCCGAAGCAGGTACTGCCGATTTGTGTGTGACAAAGATAGATTGATGCCTCATAAAGCTTCATTGAATCGTTGTCGCCCTGGAGCTCGAAACATCTGCCATGTGACTGTTTCAAAGGATTTTTTTTTTTCACGCTTTGGAGGAATGTTAACTCCTCGACACGGATCCCATGTGGGTTCACCATCGGTCGCTCGTTCGTCCTTGACGTTTGTGTTGATCTCGAGTCTACGCCACAAGGAGCTCAGTCGAGTCCCTGTCGCAGCCTCTGAAGCGGATACTCTTGATGTGTTACGCTGTCAAGCGAGTGCCTGGTGCTGAGACAAAGCGTTTTCTGTGGGAAAGGGGACGTTTATGACCACAATGAGCCGACCACATAATCAGGGTTTTCACCACAGTCCAGAGGCAATGGCTTCGGTGAAACATCCACAAACCGCTGAGAATGTTTGTTTGACTATGGCACCAAATGACACCAGATCATGTTCTGAGTCTTTTGAGAAATATCCAAGTACTGAAGCATCATGAACGAGACTAAGGCCTGTAAAAACTAGGGTTTAATAGCAATATATTACTTTAGTCTGTTAACGCTTTGTGTCCACGATCATCTCACAAATGTTTATATTTATATATATACCGGACTCTTGGGCTGATGGTGATGTTGAATACATCGGAATGGTCCATGTCATCGCAAACTGCTTCCTCAATCCAACAAATGCTCGTTAGCGCGCCACAAAAGCTCATTCTTCCTCCAACTCGAACGTGACCTGTTTCAATGCTTCACTCCTCAGAAAACAAACACCTGTTGCCGGCAGACAGGAAGCCGGGAGAAGAGACGGAGAGCCTGGTGGGGAAGCAGGTGGAGTATGTCACCGACAAGGGCGTGAAGAGAACGGGCCTGGTCATCTACCAGGTCCCGGCCAAGCCCTCCGTCTACTACATCAAATATGACGATGACTTTCATATCCATGTCTATGACCTGGTGAAAACCACCTAGAGACGCTGGGCGCAGCCTCCCTCCATCTGCTTCTGTTCCACACGTCGGCCCCATCCGTTCCTCCACAACCACCTTGGGGATTGAATAGTTATGCTTTATTGTACAGAAGAAGAAGAAGAAAAAAAAAGTGCAATCTGTTTTTCATATGCACAGCAGAACTGTAGCACCGCTATGCTTGGCTGTATTTCGAGGGAATTGGATTGTTTTATTGTTGCTGTTCTACTTTATACTGCTTTGTTTGGACAGTCCACGGCTGCAAAGTGCAGCTGTTGCTGCATTTGCGTCACTGACCTTGAGATTCTCTGATTTGTCCTTAAGTATTATCTTAATTAAATGTATGACGCAAAAGGCCGCTCAAAATATTCTTTTGGGGCTCTCTTTTGGGTCGTCTGACTAGCCAGTAAGCATGATACACCCGCTATATTGGGAATAAATGCCTTTATAAATGCGTTTATTGAATCAAGTGGGCTGATACATTTTTTTGTATTGTATCTATGTGACCATATTATCACATTCAAGTGTTGGTACTGGAAGTCAAACATGATAGTGGGACCCTAATATTTCCAAAAATGTCGTTCAGATGAATTACGCTCATGATGAAATGTACTCCTGCACCGTATAGGATCCTTTGCACTGGTGATGAATGACGCGTTTTGCTAAATTGCCATTTGAATTCGATCCGACTCCAATCATTAAAGTGCCTTCTGGCTTGTCATTTTGCAATATTGTACACGAGAGCGCGTCTGACTTCCCGCGCTGTCGCCGAGTCATCGCGTGTGAAGGCCGCGAGCTGGTTTTCGTTCGGACGAGGCGACACTGACAGCTTGAGGAAAGTTTTGCAACCATCTCGTTTATTTAAGTGCTGTGTTTTGCTCTTAATGCCGTATGAAAATGTACTATAAATATTACACACATCTCCATTGGTTGTGTGAACTCACTGTCGATCTTGTGGGGAGCACTTTATTGTATAAAGTTTACATGTTTAGGTTATGGTACGCTTTATAGTTTCCCCAAATAGCTTTCTTTGTCCTTAAGAGCAAATGTGACAGAATAAATGCTTTCACGCATGGAGAGAAAAGAAAAATGTGTTGCAATACATTTAGATGACAGTATTTAATATGTACAACTTGTGTAAAATGCCTTGTAATGTTGCCTGTTGTGATTACTCTCATTTCTATGAATATCTCATCAGAACCACCAGCTTCTAGTGATAGGGTCAAAATAAACTGTAAACTGACTACCCGGTAAAATCAACGGACACACCAGTTTGTTGACAGCCAAGAACGAGACTTGTGGTCTTTATTTCTGTCTCTTTGTCTTGCAAACACACTCGTTCCCTCCAAACTCTGGATAGTTGCTCAGTCGGTTTATTGTACATCTCCGCTAGTGGTGCCGCGCGGGAAATGACCGGTCGTCTTTACGCATTAAAAACACTTCCTGTTCTGAAGCTGTAACAACAATGTGCGTCGTCGTCGTTGTTGTTCTCCCATGAGTAATAAAGAGTTTTGCACATTTACTTGGCCTTGTTCTTTAAACGCTGCCCATATATACACACTTTAATTAAATCAAAGTAAGGACGGGAGGCGGTTTAGATGGATGCATTATTTAGTCACAAATGGTGAAACTGAAAATATCAGACTGAGTCTCTTCGTAACATAACGGTGGTGGTTTGAGAACAAAGGGGAGCGAACTACATATCAGACATAACTGAGCAAAATTAAATATGGTGGTATACACAGAATTTCTTTTTTAAAATAGATGTAGCTTCCTTGCATTATGTACAATACAATGCCAAAAATCATTTAAACACCCGCAGGCCGTGCTGCCGAGTTCGGTTCTTTCATGTCGGGGTGTTTCTTCTTTCTTGGGAGGGAACAACTGTTGAAGAAGTAACGTCATTTCTCAAGTGCAAAACTCAAAAAGGATTGATGGACGTGATGTTGTCCGAAGAGTTCCCGTTCACTTGGTGAGGTCTTTTAGATACTGCAATCCCTGATTTGTGTATTGAGTTGCTTTTGTTGGAGCCTCGGAAAGAGATGAAATCGACCGCCGCACCCCTGAAATAAAATAATGTAAAATCAGTGTCCGACGTCTCAAATTGTTAATCGATTGAAATGTACTCATCTCAGAGTCACATTAGTAATGCTGAAAATCATTACTGCCCTGATGGATTGCCAACAAGAATTTCAAATGCAGCCACAAAATTACAACCGCATGACATTAACAAGAGAGTGACCTTTTTTTTTTGGAAGTGAAAGAAATAAGCTTTTCATTCGGTTCTTACCAGAGTTCCACGCCTGGACCGGGGAGAATTCCACCTTAGGCATGGTTGGAAGCGGAGTCTGAGAGGAGGAGGAGGAACTTTTAGTTTCAAACAGCTCTGCTTTGTAGCTATAAAATGAATCAGAAAAACTTCAAATGTTTTGTCTCAGTCACAGTAGTTCAAGCAATATGACTTTATAACGCCAGAGTCTGTGAGCTCCCATCCGAGCAGCGTGACGTATAACCGCGTTATTTCAACTAGACTGAGACGCCGACCTTTGACCTTGATTCATAACTTACGTGTGTGAGGTCCACTATATAATTCAGAGGAGAAAACGCAGACCTCTGAGCAGCAACTACACACCCGTCTGTCCTACATTCAAGCATTTTAATAAATGTCCTGTTTCAATGACTTTACACCTCTGGTCGAGTAAGATTTTTCTAATGCGAACATAGCGACACAGTTCGGGGAGTTATTGGAGGGAAATGTGAAAGAGGATATTTCACTCATAATACTAATAAACAGGTGAATAGTGTGAAGTGTGCCATGACTAGCAGGGGCAATGATGATGAAGGACAGACTGACTACAGAGAAGAATAACACAGGTATAGAAATATGAAACATAATTGGAACATTTGGGGGAAAGAATATACCGACAATTACGGGTCATCTGTTTAATGGCAATTTAGCAAAGACCCAACTAGGGAAATGATGTATAATGCTATTTTAATGTAAAAAGTGTTTTGTGTCCAGGATACAACCGGTATACAGTCTCAGACAAATAAACAAGCAAGTGGCTTTATTTCAATTGCCTTGCTGTTTCTTAAGTCACGTGATCCGTGTAAACTGACCACGATCATGCTTCTATATGCTGTCTTATGACTCCATGACGGATAGGTCGTACTGGAAGACCCTAAAGTAGAACATAAATCCATTCCATTCTAGTGTGAATCATCATAACCTTTGTCTGTGGTGTATGCGACCCCCCCTCTGCAGGGTTGTTTCGTACAGAAAAAGAAGGAAAGAAGAGAGATAAGGAGGGCTGTTATCTGTGGCGTTACTACCTCCAGGCCAAAGTACTTCATCCATTCTTCTACAGCGGGGGGGATTGCAGCCTTGGCCCGGTTTAGTGCTTCGGAGCCCTGCTCACTGCTTCCCAACAGGCCGGAGTCGTAGGCGATGTACAGAGCTCCTCCTGCGATGGTCACCTTGGTGGCCAGCCTGAGAAAGCGGGAACGAGGGGGGTTTAGACTCCAAAGACGAGACGTCCACCCTCTGTGTCCTCTTACAAACACGTCCAACTCAAGATCACGCAGCAGCTAGCTGTTAGCTAGCAGCGTTAGCTATTGGTACAACATCGACTAACGTTACAGTGGGGTTAACTAAGGAAGTTGATGTACATAAGGCCACGTCCGAAACAAACATTATGATAGAAGATGGCTTTACTAGTTAGTTATTGAGTAATCTAGTTATGCAACCAGTAAACGCAATTTTTGAAGAGGACAGCTGGAAAGCTGTGGGGCAGACTAACGTTAAACGTATGGCCAGCTAGCTAACATGCTAATAGCACCTAGCCACAGCAGCAATGACTAAAGGGAAATTGCGGGTGGAATTAAAATACTGACTTCACTACGGGCAAAATCCTTGCCGCCATGGTCCAGAGCGGTGTAGTTTCCTTCAACGTAAGGTAAGCGTTACTCCCGGTATGCCAGGAATATGCTGGAGTGAAGGCTGTCCGGATAGCTCAGCCTGAAGGACAACCCTGCCTGATCTCTGTGCACGCAGCTTTTGTCAATAAAGTTGGCCTTTCAAAACCTCAAGCTAACGTTATTTCAGAGCCGCAGATTCGTCTCCTTTTTTTTTTGCACCCGTATTTCAGCCTATGGATTGAAATCCCAATTTTGACAAATAACGGCAAGTTTAAAAAAAAAAAATAGAAAAGTTATTAGAAAAGTATTAAAAGCCAAATGCATGGAGGGGATGTATTACTTATTGTTCTGTTTCTCACTATATTCTCACTTTATTAGTTTTTACTTATTCTTGCGTTGCAATCTACAATCAAACCCAGGAACGTTACTAATTTCTTGGGATAAACAAGTGATATCTCATCATACCTTAAAGTTAATTGATGATAGTGGAGGAACTGTTAAAGGACTAAGAGAGGGGTGAATGTGTTTTTGCACGATGGGACAATGCAGTATATTTGCACATTACTGGATGGTTTCAGGAAAGAAATAAAATAAGCTCGAGCATTTAGTTGAGGAATAAACATTTCTGCAGAAAGAAAAATGGCAGGATCCAAAAATAACAGGGGAAGAGTCGACCTTCAAAAGAACACGACTTGTTCAGCCGGTTGCGGCTGTGCACGTTCAAGCTTAATAAAGTTTTTCTCCCAACAACACGCCCTCTGCACGCACGCACACGCTCACACACACATATACACACACACACACGCACGCACACGCACACAGGCCGAGAGGAATGCGCGGGAGGGACTACATGGATGGCACTTCAGCTCCTCCACATTCCCCTCGAGAAGCAGCTCCTGTTGGAAGTTTGGGCTTTGCTGCACACACTTGGTGCTAGAAAAAAACTACAACAACAACAAAAACATAGCAACAAGTAAACAAAATGGGAACTTTCACTAAAATCCTCCTGAGTGCCGCGTGCGTTGCCTTCCTGGCGGCCAGGTGGACCGCGCCCCGGTTTGATGCAGGTAAGAGAGACGCGAGAACCGAGAGATCCGACCTTCTTCTTCTTCTTCTTCTTCTTCTTCTTCTTCTTCTTCTTCTCTGTCTCTAATGACGCAGATCGCGTTCCCGTAGCGTCATTAAACGATCACGTGAGCTCTCTGAACGGCCGCTGCTGACAACCTAAAACTCTTTTTCTTATTTTATTCCCGATTTAACGCGCTGTGTTGGATCCATGATGTAACTTGTTTTTATGTCATCTTTATGTACAACATTTTGACTTGAATACTGACACAACGTGCACATCTCTCTCTGCTGTATTGATCTGGTTTCCAATGTTATTTTGTCTCATAATTTGATCTTCTTTTGCTGTTTTCACATTTTAAAAGGGTTTTATTAATATTGTTATTATTAAAGTTCCCCTGGCTGATGACGCCTAAAATGTGAAGCTGTGTCATTGTACAACAAGAATATTTAAAAGGCAAAGTCACCGTTGTCACCAGTATTATTGGTGGATATTGGGTTTCATAATAATAGTTCCTTTGAATCAGCACTGCAGAATCAAATGTATCAATGCATTTTCCAGCAAATCTCCAAGAAAAAGTATTTTTCTATGAGGGAACTGTCTACATGTAGTTCTGAGAATTAAAAATATGTTAATAAGGGTTCTGGGAACCTAAAACGATTAACACCTTTAGTTCAGGGAACCAAAGCAAGACTAGGGAAGAACCTAAAACAGTCTATAGAAGATTAAAAAACGTTTAGTTCATTATGCATTAGACATCGTGTGCAGCGGCAGAGTTTTATCGAGCCACAGGGTTCGTTCCCATGAAAAGTGGGTGAAGGCGCGGCCCACCCTGTACACTCACCAGGGTGTCACATGACGTGTGGACCACCAATCACACAAAGAGGGTCAAACGCTGAGCCCTGATTATGAGGCAAATGGGCTCTCTGCCATCATTACATAATTATCCTTTTCATAGAATCTCAACTAACACGTTGGCGTACCATTTGGTACGGTAAATTAACGTGTCTGTTTGAGGCTAAATCACCCACCGCAACTTGTGTTTCTTTATTGTGGAACATGGAAGTGTTGCACTAGTGGAAGAGCCACTGGAATCCACTTGCTGCCGGAAAGGACTTGAATCTGTTGTATAGCTCAAGGTTTACGGATAAGCTGTGACATTAATAATGTGTGAACTCTGTCCATTTTACGACATTGTGATAACCCCATCATATCTAATCACCAGATCAATTAGCAGCGATAAAGGCGAAAAGATTTTACATAATATGTCACGTGCTGCCATGTGGCCTCGCGTGGTGTGGTCCACGTAGCTGGAACCTCTTCCTCTCCGATGTGCGAACTCATCCCGTACCAGCGGCGAGACGTTCTGCGTGGATCTAAATGCCGGGGCGTAGAACCTGGAGGCGAGTTCTTAAAGCTTCTCTGGGGGAGATCTAGGAGATGAAGCACAAGCGGAGCGAGTAATCGGTGACGATCTGACACGCCGCGTGCTCGTGGCTGAGGGAGGACGGCCCACATGTGTGCACAATCCGTAACCAGGTCGAACCCCCCTCCCCCACCCCCTCACGGCCGATACCACAGCGTATAGCACGCGGTATCTGTACAGTACACCTCCAGGCTCAGAGTCCACTTTGGACGCGTTCGTTGCTGCCGTTTACATCCAATCGCGACCTGTTTATAATGTTATGATGCTTGCATCTCTATGTTCTTGGGCTGAGACGACGTTTATATCACATATACCTCCCGCGCGTCTTCTGTTTTCTGAGTTCCTTTGGTCTTTCAGAGTCTCTGAGGGGCGCGAGGGTGTTGGTGACTGGGGCCAGTACCGGTATCGGTGAACAAATGGCGTACCACTACGCCCGCTTCGGAGCCCAGGTCGTCATCACAGCGAGGAGGGATAAGGTGTTACAGAAGGTCAGTGGACCTAACGCGTATCTTCCAGCAGTCGCCATCGGCGTCCATCACATCGCGTACAGTGTCTACAGGCGCTTCTCTTTCTCTTCAAACGCCTTTTTCGGCGTCATCGCTGCCTTTTAGGTGGCCGAGGAATGCCTGCGTTTGGGAGCCCAGAAAGCCCTCTACGTAGCAGCGGACATGGCCAGCGAGTCGGACCCCGACACGGTTGTCGATTTCGCCCTGGAACATCTCGGAGGGTTGGACTACCTGGTCCTCAACCACATCGGGCCGAGCCCCTTCAGCATGTGGGAGGGGGACGTGGAGCACACCCGGTGGCTGATGAAGGTAGCGCGGCGCTTTGGTCATTTGTGGGTCACTGGGGGGGTCGGAGGGGGAAGGGGCTGATCTTGGTGTGTGTGTGTGTGTGTGTGTGTGTGTGTGTGTGTGCTCTCCAAAAGGTCAACTTCTTGAGCTACGTTCAGATGGCTTGGAGGTCTCTGGCGTCCCTGGAACAGAGCAAAGGGTCGCTGGTGATCGTTTCGTCGCTTTTGGGTGAGTTGGATAAATAAATATAGGCAAACAGGATTGTATCGGTTTAACAATGTTAAAAAAGTTTTGGCCTTATTATTTTAAATTTTTATAATGTTTAAAGTCACATATTATAAACCCGTGAAAGCACTTTTTATATCAAAGTGCATTTTTATAGAAATATAAAAAATGGAAAAAAAATTCTATCTGGACTAGCAGTTAATTTGGAAAAAACAAATGATCCTTAACATGCATTTATGAGCTTCTGATTTATTTTTCACATTCTTTTATATTTTTGTAGGGTTCCTGACAGTGTTTTAGTCAAAAATCTTATATATTTTTATATATTTTTATATATATATATATATTTTTTCTTTAGGATGAAGAAGAGCGCGCGATATGATCAAGTGATCCAGACACATTTGACCCTTTTACCTTTAGATTGTTTTGCAAAATGATAACTGTCGGAAGTATCAAATATTTCTTTTAGAAATACTTCCTATTCAATATTTTCAGAATGTATCAATTGACCCTTCGCTATAAACCCGCCCACCACTCATCCAGATGTCAGAGCTACGTTACCATGGCTACCGTCACTAACTGCACTCCCTGTATAAATATCATCATCGTATCTCATTTTAGAGAAAGCAAACGTAACAATCTTAGCTACGGTTTAAATGTGTAAATCAACAAGGAAAGCGTTTACGTTGTACTTTTGTACAAGATTTAACCTGTGAATGTCATGAGTTAAGACATTAGAATATAATCGTTATGAATGCTTGGCAGCGAAGATGCCCAGTCCCTTCGTGGCCCCGTACGCCTCGACTAAACACGCCCTGAACGGTTTCTTCGGGTCCCTTTACCACGAGCTGGCCATGAAGAAGAGCAACGTGTCCGTCTCCATATGCACGCTGGGGCTCATCGATACGGAATCGGCTATGGATAAAGTCAGGTAGGTCGAGTCTCTCAAAGCGATCGGCGATGTGTTGAAATACCGCCGGGCGTTTGGCACCACGTTTAACTCCCCGCGGCCGTTGATGGGACAGTGGTTCTGTGTCCTGCAGGGGGTACACGGACGTCCCGCCCTACCCGGCCCCGGACGCCGCCTTGAACATCATCGTGACGGGAGCCACCAGACAGCCGGAGCTCTTCTACCCCTGGTTCACCCGCGCCTTGATTCTGAGCAAAGACTGGTTCCCTTCCTTCACAGACTACGTCATCCAGAACTCCTACAACTACACGCCGTGAATTCTGTACCTGATGTTTTCCACTACCAGAGATTTGCTTTGAATGTCCAGCGCGCCCTCAGACTTTAGGGCCAAATCGGTAATATTTCTGATGGAAAACCCAAAAAAAACATTTATTTTGACCGTTGCTCACCTGCTGTAGCTTTTAAAATGCTTTATAATACATAAAGTATACTTAAATGTCCTTTAAATACTTAAAGGAGCTTTTCTCAGAATCAGCATTCTTCTCGTATTTGGAGCCAGAAATCTCCTCTTTTGTCGCACTTACACACACATTGAACTTTTACAGGGACTTTTTATTCCTGCAAACAAAGGATGGGGAGTTGTTAAAAAGACGTATCCAAAATCCCCCTCAGTAAGAAAACGAAACAAGATCTTTTAACCTAAATATTAAATGTAATATGTATGCAAATTAAAACATATTTAAAGAAAATGCCTCATATGAAAGCTTAAACATACAGTTTAAGAAAATGTGCAATAAAACAAGTTTCACGCACAAGTCAATCATTTAATTTACTCACTGACGTCAGGTGTCTCTTTTTATTGGACTGCGTGGACATCTGAAAGTTAAAAATGAGATTTTATTCAACTCCTACAAAAACACTCAGTGATAGAATGAATCAAACAGTCCAATTAAACCCATTGAGAACGACGTTACTGCAAGGATCAATACTTTGATTGTCCACATGAGGGCAGTAGTGACAAAGTAGTGCAGCCCCATTACTTCTTCTTTATGTCCCGGTATTCACCGACTCCATCATCCCATTTCTTTTTCCTTTTCTTTATATAAACCGCCATCATCAACCCTCACCCCGTCTTCACTGTTCTCCACCGCTGGATTTCCTCTCCATCTCCACTCTTCTCGGCCTCACTCCGTTCTCCGCTCTCCTCTCAAAGTTGACCCTGGGGGGCGTCGCGGACGTCCTGCAGAGTGGGACTTTCTCTTTGTGTCTTTGTTCGTCATCCCCCAAAAGCACCGCAGGCTTCCCCCCCCCAACCCCCCCGTGAGGCTGTTGGCTCAATCCATCCTGCCGGTCGGTTCTTCATTGTAATGCATCCCAGAGGTCGCGCCCTGCTGATAAAAGTGGTTGGTTTTTTTTTCACCGCATACTCAGAGTGAGTTGTCATTGTCGCACACAAACGGCTCGACAAAAGATTATAGTGCGATTTGAAAAGTTGCGGAACCAAAACAAAGAGCCCTCTCTCCCGGATGGGCACGAACAGGCCCTGAATCTTTAATCTGAAAGTTTGCCGTCTTCTCAGACTTTTTTGTGTTTGGTCTCTCGGAAATATGACAGATGGAACCGGATCTTGACACATGATGTGACAGGATTGCGTAGATGGTTTAATCGCTCTTCAGATGGCGCTCCTTCCGTCTCAGGGGGGGGGACACCTGCAGCAGATTAGTGATCCCAATGGCAGGGGATGAGTCCTCGCACCCTTCTCCAGCGTCTCCATCTCCACCACGCATGGATCTCACTGCATCACACACGCAACACGCAGCACGAAGATCGTGCACATCTTCGTGCTGCACGTCCTTCGTGCTTCGTGTGCACACACACGCGCGATTGGCCAGTTGGACTCCCACTTCCGGGGGTTTAGTGATGGTGGTTCCGCGTGTCCTCGGCTGAGTATTTGCGCACCACGTTTGCTGAGGCGGCAGAAGTTCCACGTTGCAGACCATAAACAGTCACCTGTCCCGTGGCGACGGCACCGCGCGCCTCCACCATCGAGCATCGACGCCCAATTTACGGTCCATTTCTTTGTGCTGCTCCTTTGAGCACAAAGGGACAGCGGCCCACAAATCTCCGTCCGGCCTCGCCCATCGGTTGCTTTGAGCGCTGCAGAGAGAGCGGCCTTGATGGACACGCGCACACACGTGCGTTGTGTCATGCGTGCCGGCCGGCTTGTGTGCGTCTCATGTGTGCGTGTGACATTCATCATTCGCTGGCTTGAGACCAACGGGCTGTGAATAAGTGGAAGTGGGAGACTGAACCATGAGGTGAGGTTAACTCACTGATGTGTTATCAGGAGACGGCTCTCCTTGAAGAAAGACGGCGGGTACCGAACGAAACTTCACGCACCAGAAGATGCAGTTAGAAACGCTGTTGGCGTAATTGGTCGCTCAGTTGAATGGATTTAATTCACTCTTTTTTAATGACATTTCAAAATGTTGTACGATTATTTGAGAGGTAGGGGAGAAGTTGATACCTGCGTGTGTGTGTGTGTGTGTGTGTAGTGGAAATGTGTATCCAGAGGTAGCAGCCGATTAGCTTAGCTTAGCATTAGGACCAGTCGCCACTAGTTGTTCGGCCACAGCTCAAAATCATTTTAACGTTCTTATGCAAATAAAAGACAATGTCCATGTCCATATATATATATATATATATATATATAATATATATAATGTTGTATGAAACAGATTAGATGTAGCATGTAAATTAGTCCTCTTTCGAGGTACTTTCTATCCAGTCTTTGTGCTAAGCTAAGCTAACCTGATCACTGCAGTTTCCTGCTCTGTATTTAAATGATGGCGGTATCATCTTCACATCGCTCAGTCAGAAAGTGAAGAGGCGTATTCCTTTAAAGGCCTTCACGATGGAAAGTAGATTCAGATTTGGTTCATATAGTATATATAATATTTGTAGCAACTGTAGCATCGTAGTGAAGCAAATCCACTACAGTAATTCGTAATATGTGACTTATAGGCAACTTATATTAAAATTACAAATATTTATTTATGTCTCTTCCGGTAATTATATTAAAAATCTAATTTCATTGGCCTCCTCTTGTTAAAACGTGCCGTGGATCTGCGTCGTCGTGTCACTCGAATATGTTGAAGAGAATGTTAATCTCCCTGAACACGGAGCTTGTGTTTGACCGCTGAAAAGTTTTCCCCAAACATTGAGCTATGATAACAAAAGAGGGGAGAGATAGAGGGGGGAGGGGGGGGGGGGGGGCGAGATGAAAACCTAATGAAAGGGAGCCGCGCCGTGAAATAAAACCGTGGGTGTGAGAGGCCCCGTGACCCCTGACCTCCCTCCCCCAGGTCCATTCAGAGCGGCCCAATTGGCGACACCTGTGTGCCCTTCAGCACCGGCGCTATTATCATTTACAATCACCCGGTGGGAGAACGCAGGCAGAGCCAGAAGAGAGGCCAGGGTGCTGTGCAGCACCAGCCTCATGTCCCTCACCCCCCCCTCCCTCCCTCCCTCCCCCCCCTCTGCCCGTCTCTCTTTCAGAGACCGCTGCCCTCCGATCTCTTCCTCTCTAATTATTTCCGATAACTCCAAACACGGCGGGGGAAGGAGAGCGTCACAAAGAGGACGACGGGCTGTTTTTACATCCTGCACCTAATTGTCTGACAGTTCTGCTCCTCTGAATCCCCGTAAGAAAAAGGGGGTTTGAGTTATGAGGGGGGGGGGGGGGGCTTGCTGCTGATTATTTGTCTTGTGATATATTTTCTCTACTTGTATTTCGCGGCTTAGCGCCGCAGCACCGACCCTCCACGTTTCAGTTTAATGATGTTCGCAGGACGATCCTTTTTTCCTGCTCTGGTCATGTATCCCTCTGTTGCTGAATCAGCTGGGGGGGGGGCGGCGGGGGGGGGGGGGGGGGTCACAGGAGCATGGGTGGCAGGCTGGAGGGGGGTTACATGAATTCTTTTTTTCATTGGGGGGGGAGAAAGCCCAATTAACAAGGATAAGAAGTGACCGTAAACACCCTCAACAAGGCCCGACAAACCTACAGGAACAAGAGCTCTCTCTCCCTTTCCTTTTTTTTTTTATTCTCCCCCCTTTTTTGTAGAGAGATCATTCTCCCACCCCCACCGCGCACCATGCTCACTCACTCTCTTCCACTTCCCCTCACAAAAGGAAGGCTCAGAGCTTACAAAGTGCCAATTAACACTGAATGTTGGCCCCTCGCACCTCCCTCTCTGAACTGCTGACAGCTCTGGTGTTTGGGTTAATACCAAAGGCCTGCAAAGAATTATAATTCTCCTCCTTGCCCCACCCCCCTCGCCACCCCCCTCGCCATCCTTTTATTTTGTTTCCAATGGGGTGGTTTTACAGTTCAATGCACAGTCAAAGGGGTGATATAAAATGACTTTCCAAAGAATTTCCTTTGGGGAGAAGAGGGGCTTGTGTTGGATTGGGGCATCCAGGAGGCGGGACCAGGGATGCAGGGGGAGGTGGGGGGGGGGAGGCAAAAAAAGATAAATGGAGACAGTATATATTAAAGACATCGAAAACTATTTCCATTGTGTTTTTATTTTTTTGCAAAAAAAATTAAATTCAGCCAAATCCGTTCCACCAAAACAGACGTTCGTATGAGTTCTCCCTCCATCAGCGCATTGTATGCAAACACCACCCCAGCCTACACACACAAGTGAACCCCCCCCGCCCACACTTGCCCATTGGAGCCGTAGGGTCCCACTCGAGATGAAGATAGCAGCGTGGGCCATTCATCACCGGCCGGGCCGATGGCCACGCCGGTCTTCTATTTCTCCCTCGTGAGCTCCAATAAATCATCCCTCTGAATAAAAGCGCGGCCAATGAGGAGAGGTGAGAGGGTTAAACTCTGGGAGAAGCACGGACCACTTGGCTCTTTAAGGGAGCTTCTGCTGGCACTCAATTCCCTGCAAACACGGCTCTGTTTCTACAATTTATGACCTTTTGGCACAAGGTTTCTCCCTTCTTTCTTTACTTTGGGCTGAAATTGGGTATTTAAAGTGAAGCAGCCAAACCTGAATTGGATCCTGCTAGATGACAATATAGACACACTAAATAACGTGTGTGTGTGAAAGGGAACCTGTGCCGACTTGGTGAGTACTACTAAATATGAGGAAAAAGGTTTATTGTAGCTTCATCTCGGGTTTGCTGGGTAACTTCGAGCTCCTTTGCATTAAATGCCACGCAAGACATTATTACCTCACGGGTTGTTGGAATTCATTTTATCGTTGCCCCCATTTGCCACAACTCATTTAACAACTCGTTTTTCTTCTGTCTTCTACAGCAAATTTGACAAACTTTGAGTCTAAAGTTAACTTGTCCGGCTAAATTAAAAGTTTGATCCTTGTGGACATTGACAGCAAACTACATGTTGACTTTCTTTTGTTGCAGTGTAAAGTTTCGCATCGAGTAGCACGAGTACCCAGAAGCAGCCGTTGAGCAAAAACTAAATAGCTCAAATTTCTAACCCACTTCAATATTTTCCAGACGCTTCAAAAGCTTCAAGGTGGAATCCTCCCTGTTCGGGTGTCCTTTGTTGGGGCCACAGAAGAGGGCGAGTGCCGGTGGTGTGGAACCGAGCCGGACATGTGACTCTGGCCTCTGCTTTGAATCCAGAATTCTGGGTTTTACTAAAGATAAGGGGAGTGCG